GCCTTAAGGCAAGCACTAGCCCTTGTATCAGGAACAAGGGGGCCTGGTGACCCACACTCTCCTCTGGCCCTTTGGCGTTCAGTCCTCAGGCTACTACGGGAAAGGACAAATTCTTCAGCCTGTTTGGAGTGGGATGGAATAGTTTCTACTTCCTTTTTTTTTTTTTTTTTTTTTTTAGAACTGTCTCACTCTGTTGCCTAGGCTGAAGTGCAGTGGTGTGATCTCGGCTCACTGCAACTGGCGCCTCCCAAGTTCAAGCAATTTTCATGCCTCAGCCTCCCCAGTAGCTGGGACTACAGGTGCGGGCCATCATGCCCAGCTAATTTTTGTATTTTTAATAAAGACAGAGTTTCACCACTTTGGCTAGGCTGGTCTCAAATTCCTGACCTTGTGATCCGCCTTGGAACCTCAAAGTTCTGGGATTACAGGCGTGAGCCACTTCATCCAACCTTTTCTTTAGTCTTTACCTGTTTTCTAAACACAAAGCAACAGAAAAACTTCTGCTTCAAATGCATGACTCAGGTCTGGAATTCAAGTTGCTGCTATCTTAGGAAAAAAGCTGCCTATAGTGTTTTTGAAATTTCCTATTCTCCTGCCTCTGATTAACTCATGTGATCAGCAAAGTTTTATCATCAGAGATTATCAATAAAATGAAGTTAGTGATCCAGTAATAAGAAGAGAACCAGCACAAGCTAGTACTCAGAATTACATCTTTTTTCTATGCATTTGTAAGTATTGAACATGTCTGGTGGCTCACAGGTGTAATCCCAGCACTTTGGGAGGCAGAGGCAGGCAGATCACTTGAGGTTAGGAATTCAAGACCAGCCTGGCCAACATGGTGAAACCCCATCTCTACTAAAAATACAAAAATTACCGGGTCATAGTGGCACGTGCCTATAATCCTAGCTACTTGGGAGACTGAGGTAGGAGAATCGCATGAACCCGGGAGGTGGAGGTTGCAGTGAGCTGAGGTCGCATCATTACACTCCAGCTTGGCAACAGAGTGAGACTCTGTCTTGGAAAAAAAAAAAAATCTGGAAAGAAGTAGCTGAAAATATTAAAAGTAGTTATATCTAGGTAAGAGTGTGTTGATCTCTGTCCTTTTTGCTTTTCCATCTTTTCTAAATATTCTATGTTCAAATATTATTCTTGAACTCAGAAAAGGAAATAATATTTTCTTTAAAGTTACTAATATTAGGCAAAGCAAATAGCTCTACTGTACATTTGTGATAGTCCTCGTAGCCTATTACATGTTAGTTTGGCTTTCCTTGTTAACCAAAGATTTCATTATTTTGCAGCTTAAATCGTTTATTTCTAGTTTTTTAAGGTGGGGAGGAGGTGAGGAGGGTGAAGAAGCAAATTCAACTTCAGTAAAACAGGGCGTGCAGCCTTTTCCCCTGAGTCCCTTTGTTTCAGGGCCCCTGGGTTCCGGGTCTTTTGTTGTTCTCTGCATGGACTTTGTATTCGAGATTTAAAGAAAAACAAGTGCTGGCCCTCCTTGCTCCCTCTGGTGTCCCAATGAGGTATAACCGGACAAACCCCACAAAGATCACAGCCATTTTCACACAGCGCTCTCCCGACACAGTGATGCCTGGAGACGGGAATGTCTGGAATCTTAGAGGAAGGAATCGTACACCGACAAGCACGGCAGGCTTAGTCTTTGAAACTTAATCAGAGCCTGTAAGAATGGATACTTTTTTTAAAAAAAATTAAAAGCAGTATCTGGGCTGCAAGAATTTTAAAAAAACCTAATAGTAAATAAGTCAGTTCTCAAAGCATTTGATACAGCTTTCTGGGTTCTCAAACTAAGAAAATGTTACTACATATGTTGTTTTATAAACACAGCATAAACCAGTACATTGTTATTTGCTTTTAAAATTTCTTTTAGAGACAGGGTCTTGCTCTGTCACCCAGGCAGGAGAGCAGTGGTGCAATCTTAGCTCAATGCAGCTTCGAATTCCTGGCCTCAGGTGATCCTCTCTGCTTCCGCCTCCCAAAGGGCTGGGATTACAGGTGTGAGCCACTGTGCCTGGCCTAGGACTTTGGGTTAATTGCAAATAAATTAGGTGAAAGAGGTCTGGTTACCTAGGCTTCAGCTTGACTGAGGATAGTGATTTCTTTAACTGTAAGCTTTACCATGTAAACCAAAAATAAAATTCTAAGCTCCCCAACCAACTGAATGAATGCTTCCTTGTCCAAGGGCATTCCAAAGTTACCCGAAACACTAGTTCATGCTGTGATGAGACCAGGTGGTCAGACAAGCCTCATTATATTCTCCTCCCTTTGGGATTCACATACATCTGACCAGCATTAACATTAAATCAGAGACCTTAAGTCTGACAAAGCAGGCTTTTTGTAGCAGTAAGACACCAACATGACAGATAGTAGGCCCTGAAGTAAATTGAAGTATTTTACCCATATATATATATAATATATATATATACATTTATAATTATATAATTAAATGCATATATATATTTGACACATTTTGAAATGGGCCTGCAAAGGTGTCTCTTGTGGGGAGAATCTGCTTTCAGTAGAGAATCGCCTTCCCTTTCCAGATCTTTTTCCTTAACCAGGAGAGAATTAACTAAGAGTCTTGCACCTTTAAAGGTAAAAAATGAAATTTTTACAATCTGGCCTGGTGCAGTGGCTTACGCATGAAATCCCAGCACTATTGGATGCTGAGGCAGGTGGGTTACTTGAGCCCAGGAAGTCGAGACAAGGCTGGACAACATGGTGAAACTCTGTCTCTACTAAAAATACAAAAATTGGGCTGGGCGCGGTAGCTTACACCTGTAATCCCAGCACTTTGGGAGGCCGAGGTGGGTGGATCATGAGGTCAAGAGATTGAGACTATCCTGGTCAACATGATGAAACCCTGTCTCTACTAAAAATACAAAAAATTAGTTGGGCATGGTGGTACGTGCCTGTAATCCCAGCTACTCAGGAGGCTGAGGCAGGAGAATTGCCCGAACCCAGGAGGTGGAGGTTGTGGTGAGCCAAGATTGCGCCATAGCCCTCCAGCCTGAGTAACGAGCGAAACTCCATCTCAAAAAAAAAAAAAAAAAAACAAAAATTACCTGGGCATAGTGGTGCATGCACTTGTAATCCCAGCTACTCCAGAGGCTGAGAGGTAGGAGGATGACTTGAGCCTGGGAGGTGGAGGCTGCAGTGAGCTGAGACTGCAACATTGCACTCCAGCCTGGGTGATGGAGTGAGACTCAGAAATATTTACAATCTGTTTTCTCTGAAGCCTGCTACCTGGAGGTTTTATCTGCATAATAAGAACCTTGGTTTTTGAGGCTGGGCATGGTGGCTTACACCTGTAATCCCAGCAATTTGGTAGGCTGAGTGGGGTGGATCACTAGGTAGGGAGTTCAAGACCAGCCTGACCAATATGGTGAAAACTCATCTCTACTAAAAATACAAAAATTAGCCTGGCATGGTGGTGCGTACCTGTAGTCCTAGCTACTTGGGAGGCTGAGGCAGGAGAATCACTTGAACAGTAGGCAGAAGTTGCAGTGAGCTGAGATTGTGCCACTGCACTCCAGTCTGGGTGACTCTGTCTCAAAAAAAAAAAAAAAAGAACCTTGGTCCCCATCTGTATAGAAGGGATGCACTCCCTTCTGTAGATATCAAACTCTTTCAAACTAACTGCCAGTCAGAAAATCTTTGAATCCACCCATCACCTGGAAGCACCCCATCCGCCTTCACTCAGTATGGAGTTGTCCTGCCTTTCTGGAGTGAATGAATGTATATCTTACACGAATTGATTTATGTCTTATGTCTCTCTAAAATGTAAAATAAAAAGCTGTAGCCTGACCACTTTGGACACATGTTCTCAGGATCTCCTGGGGCCGTGTCACTGGTCATGGTCACTCATATTTGTCTCAGAATAAGTCTTTTCAAATATTTTACAGAGTTTAACTCTTTTCTTCATTGACAATCAATATGTGAGAGTTGATACTGAAGGCTCCTTTTGTCTATAATATACTTTATTGTATCGCCTTTTTCACCAAGCTGTTTTGTTTGGTTTTTATAGAGATGAGATCTCACTTTGTTCCACAGTCTGGTCTCTTGGGCTTAAGAGATCCTCCCTCCTCAGCCTTCTAAAATGCTGGAATTACATGTGTGAGCCCCGGCCCTCAAACTGTGCCTTTTTTTTTTTTTTTTTGAGCTGAAGTCACTCTGTCAACCAAGCTGGAGCATAGCGGCATGATCTTGGCTCACTGCAAACTCTACCTCCTGGGTTCAAGCAATTCTCCCTACCTCAGTCTTCTGAGCAGCTGAGCAGCTGGACATGGTCTGCCACCATGCCTGGCTAATTTTTGTTTTGTTTTGTATTTTTAGTAGAGACAGGGTTTTGTCATGTTGGGCAGGCTGGTCTCGAACTCCTGAGCTTAAGTGATCTGCCTGTCTCAGTTTCCCAAAGTGTTGGGATTACAGGCATGAGCCACCATACCTGGCCAAACTGTGCTTTTTAAAATAATATTTCCACTAAAAAATGTAGATGTAAAATATTTTTGGTTTAAATATTTGATTGATAAGATCTCAGGTATTAGGCCAGGCATGGTCTGGCCTGAGGTCCTGAGGTCAGGCATTCGAGACCAGCCTGGTCAACATGGTGAAACCCCATCTCTACTAAAAATATAAAAATTAGCCAGGCATGGTGGCATGTGCCTGTAATCCCAGCTACTTGGGAGGCTGAGGCAGGAGAATAACTTGAACCTGGGAGCGGAGATTGTAGTAAGCTGATATTGTGCCAAGGAACTCCAGCCTGGGTGACAGAGCAAGACTCTGTCTAAAAAAAAATCCCCCCAAAACGATAAAACCCCCCAAAAATCAATGAAACAAACAAAATCTCAGGCATTACAGTTTTATTTGAATAAGCAATTCATGCACACAGAACAAAGTTCAAAAATTACCAGAAGGTATACAGAGGAAAGTCTCTCTTCCTTTTTTTTTTTTTTTGAGACAAGTCTCTTTCTGTCGCCCAGGATGGAGTACAATGGAATGATCCTGGCTTGTTGCAACCTCTGCTTCCCGAGTTCAAGTGATTCTTCTGCCTCAGCCTATGGAGTAGCTGGGATTACAGGCATGCCACCACTCTTGGGTAAGTTTTGTATTTTTTAGTAAAGATGTAGTTTCACCAGGTTGGCCAGGCTGGTCTTGAACTCTTGGCCTCAAATGATCTGCCTGCCTTAGCCTCCCAAATTGCTGGAATTACAGGTGTGAGCCACCGTGCCCGGCTTGTCTCTCATTTCTAATTAATAACATTCTCTTGAGTGATTTCGGGTTGATCTGGCAGCTCAACAAGGCCATCAGAGGCTTTGGGTACTCTGTTCTTATTCTGGGTCTTTCTTCTCTGCTACCTTTAGCAAAGGGACGTTTCTTTTTCACGATTTGTCACTTCACGTGAGTCATCTACAAGATAGCTGCTGCAGCCATCATGACCACTTTCAAAGCTAGAACATGAAGGAAGAGGCAGCTCCAGCACATTTGCCTTTTTTTTTTTTTTGAGATGGAGTTTTGTTCTTGTCACGCAGGCTGGAGTGCAATGGTGGGATCTCGGCTCACCACAACCTCTGCCTCCTCGATTCAAGCAATTCTCCTGACTCAGCCTCCTGAGTAGCTGGGATTACAGGCATGTGCCACCACCCTCAGCTAATTTTTGTATTTTTAGTAGAGACAGGGTTTCACCCTGTTGGTCAGGATGGTCTCAAACTCCCAACCTCAGGTGATCTGCCCTCCTTGGCGTCCCAAAGTGTTAGGATTACAGGCATGAGCCACCACTCCCGGCCTACACACTTTCCTTCTGAATGTCCCTTTTAACTGGGAGAAAGCCTTCCTAGAGAAATCCTGGTGGTTGCTTTCCTGTTTCGTTAACCACCATTGGGTCACACAGAGGCTGGGAAAGTGACTCTCAGGCAAAAGGGAATGGATAGTGATTCTACTATCAGTTTTTTTGTTTTTGTATTCTAGTGTTCTCTGCTGGGTGTAAGAATGAAAATTTGTTAGTGTAACACCATTTCTCCTCAATTCAACAATGATGTTTTCATCTTTTTTGTTTCAGGAGATACATCCAGAAAACTGCATTGCAATTTCAAATCCAAGTTGGACAAGTTTTTTTTTTTTTTACACAGACATCACCATGTTAGAAAAGTTGGAAAAGTTTTGAAACCATTCTGATCCTATCCTTCTTGTCTTCCAATTCCTTCCAAGGCATCTTATTATTTATTTGTTTCTAATTTTCCCATTATTAAAGAGGTTGAATATCTTTTTTCCAGAGCTAGTTTGGGTTCTGATTTTCTTCACTTTCCTGATGGAGTTATTTTAGAATTGAAGGGCATCATAGCAACTGAGGCAGTATTGACATCATCAATATTTTAGGATTACAGGTAACCATATTTCCCAGTTGACTTGAGACAGTGCCAGTTTATACCTCTTGTCGTGTGTGTGTGTGTGTGTGTGTGTGTGTGTGTGTTTTCTGAGACAGAATCTCGCTCTGTTGCCCAGCTGGAGTGCAGTGGCATGATCTCGGCTCACTGCAACCTCTACCTCCCGGGCTCATGTGATTCTCTTGCCTCAGCCTCCCGAGTAGCTGGTATTACAGGCAAGCGCCACCACGCCTGATAAATTTTTGTATTTTTAGTAGAGACAGGGTTTCATTATGTTGGCCAGTCTGGTGTCGAACTCTTGACCTCAAGTGATCCTCCTGCCTTGGCCTCCCAAAGTGACGGGATTATAGGTGTGAGCCACTGCACCTGGCCCTAGTATATTTTATAATAGGATTGCATTCAATCTTGAAAGTGTCTGATTTTGATGAAAAGTCATTTATTAGGCTGGGCACCTGTAATCCCAGCTACTCAGGAGGCTGAGGAAGGAGAATCACTGAACCCAGGAGGCAGAGGTTGCAGTGAGCCAAGATCAGGCCACTGTATTCCAGCTTGTGCAACAGAGCAAGACTTGGTCTCACCAGAAAAAAAAAAAGGTCATTTATTATCTGAAATACACATCAAAATACCACTATTGGCATTTTGCTACGGTGTCTCCACCAGTGGGAGCAGGATCATCATAAAGGGTGGGGTTTGTTCTGCCTCCTTCTCTGTTGTATCCCCAGAGCCCAGAACAGTACCCAGAACCCAGTAAGTGCTTAATAAGTATGAATACATCTGTGCATAAATTCATTTCTTGGGACTTGGCACATTGCCACTTGAACAAATGGATTCTATTAACAAGGAATATGAAGCAATGATTTTGGGGTACACAACTCATGGTGCCTGCCAAAACATGCATTTTAGATTTTGATAGATACCGTCAAGTTATTCTCCACAGGGGCTGAGCCGGTTTACACTCCCACCAGCAATATGTGAGAGCATCTGTTTCTCTAACCTTCAACCACATGGTGTTATCAAAATTTTTATCTGTGCCAATCTGGTAGTTTAAATTTGCATTTCCCTTATTATGAAAAGATAGAGCATACTTTCGTATGTTTAAAAGCCGTCTGAAATTTCTAAGAACTGTCTGTTCATATCCTCTGCCCATTTTTTTTTTTCCCAGTGAATTACTGGTCTTTTATCAATCTGTAAAAATACAAATAGTTGTTCCAAGGTTTTCATGTCTTTGCATTTGTTTATGGTGTTGTTGTAAACACAATTTAAAACATGAATTTTTATTTAGCTTCTTTCCTTTCATTGCATCTATATTTTGCATCAAGCTTAGACTTTCCCAGATTGTAAAATAATTCTCCCATATTTTCTTGTCTTACTTTCAAGTTTTCAGTTTTTTCTTATGTAACTCTTTATCTATCTGAAATTTATTTTGGTGTAAGTTTTGAGATGTGAATAAAATCTAATATTGTTTATTGAATAGCTCATCTGTTCCCCACTGGTGGAAACTCTGAAAGGTTCCTCATATTCAGAGACTATTTCCTATGAAACTTTTAACACTCTGCAAATTCTAAGGAAAGAAACTCAAGGGCAAAGCAGTCAGGATGTAATTTTAATTTGTGGTTTCATGTCTTCCACTTCCTCAATTTATAATAGTACTATCTTTTATTAAGCATTTATATATTAAGCATAATGCCACAGAAGATTGTATAAAAATATGGACAATTTGTAGAACAATGGTAAAATGAATACCTCTGTACTTATTATCCAGATGAACACATAAAACTTTGCCAGTGACTTGAAAATCTTCTGTGCACGCTACTTTATCGTTTTCTTCTTCCTCCCCAAGAGGTAACCACTGTTCTAATTTTTTGATAATTATTTCTTGCTTTACTTTATAGTTTTACTACCTATATGTATCCTTAAATACTATATTGTTTATTTGTTTATTTCTTATCTTTGATGAGACCAAAAAATATCTCTGTTGTTGTGTTTTGAGACAGGGTCTTGATCTGTTGCTCAGGCTGGAGTGTAGTGGCACAGTCACAGCTTACTGCAGTCTTGACCTCCCAGGCTTCAGCAATCCTCCCGCTTCAGCTCCCCAGTCAGCTGGGACTATAGGCATGCACCATCATGAATGGCTAATTTTTGTATTTTTTTTTTTTTGGTAGAGACAGGGTTTTGCCATGTTGCCCAGGTTAGTCTTGAACTCCTGGACTCAAATGATCTGCCTGCCTCAGCCTCCCAAAGTGCTAGGATTACAGGCATGAGCCATGACACCTGGCCTCTTTATTTTCTTGGGATGGAATTTCACTCTTGTTGCCCAAGCTGGAGTGCAATGGCGTGATCTCGGCTCAAAAATATTGCTTATTTTTGACAACTGAGTGGCAAGCCCAACCACTGCAACAGGCTCTCAAAAGATAAGCTCTGGGTCAAGTGCAGTGGCAGCGTTCCTGAGAGAATGCAAGAGCTCCTTTAGGAAGTCTGTGGTCAGGGTCAAGAGTGAGTTCTGGGAAACAGGATATATCAGAGCTGTGACATCTGCCAGGGCTGTAGTTTGGGTTAGGTAATGAATATCTGCAGAAACATAGTTAAGAAGTGGGAGGCTCTCTATCTGCAGCTCCCAAGCTCTCCATGGTTTCTCACCTACTTTCAAGAAGAAATCAAAGAAAATCCCTTCTAGGGGGTATAGGGTAAGGCAAATTTCCTCAGTTCATGCAGACAGCATGTCATGGTGGGTATGTTAGTTTTCTATTGCCACATTATAAATTATCAGCAATACAGCAGCTTAAAACAACACACATTTATTGTCTCATGGTTTCTTTCTTTTTTTTTTTTTGAGAGGGAGTTTCGCTCTTATTGCCCAGGCTGGAGTGTTATGGCATGATCTTAGCTCACCGCAACCTCTGCCTCCTGAGTTCAAGCGATTCTCCTGCCTCAGCCTCTCAAGTAGCTGGGACTACAGGTGTGTGCCACCATGCCCAGCTAATTTTTTGTATTTTTGGTAGAGACAGGGTTTCACCATATTGGTCAGGCTGTTCTTGAACTCCTGACCTCGTGATCCACCTGCCTCAGCCTCCCGAAGTGCTGGGATTACAGGCATGAGCCACTGTGCCCAGTTTCTTCTTCTTTTTTTTTTTTTTTTATTTGAGATGGAGTTTTGATCTGGTTGCCCAGGCTGGAGTGCAATTGTGCAGTCTCAGCTCACTACAACCTCTAGCTCCTGTGTTTGAGTGACTCTCCTGCCTTGGCCTCCTGAGTAGCTGGGACTACAGGTGCCCACTACCACGCCCAGCTATTTTTTTGTATTTTTAGTAGAGATGGGGTTTCACTATGTTGGCCAGGCTGGTCTCGAAACCCTGACCTCAGGTGAGCCACCTGCCTCAGTTTCCCAAAGTGCTGGGATTACAGGCATGAGCCACAGTGACTGACATGTCTTACAGTTTCTACAGGTCAGGAGTCTGGCACATTTTAGCTGGTTCCTCTGTTCAAGGTCTCATTAGACTGATATCAAGACATTGGTTGGCTGGCCCCTCCTCTGGAGGCTGGAATAGGGAACGATTCATTTCCAAGGTAGCTCAGGTTGTTAGCAGAGTTCATTTCCTTGCAGATGTAGCACTGAAGCCTCCACTTTCTTTTTTCTTTCTCCTCCTCCTTCTTCTTCCTCTTCTTTCCTCCTCCTGGTTTTCTTTTTCTCCCTCACCCTCTCCTTCTCCTCCTCCTCCTCTTCTTGTTCTTGTCCTTCTTCCTCTTCCTCTTCTTTTAAATGGAGTCTTTGTCTATTGCCCAGGCTGGAGTACAATGGCACAGTCTAGGTTCACTGCAACCTCTGCCTCCTGGATTCAAGCAATTCTCCTGGCTTAGCCTCCCAAGTAGCTGGGATTATAGGCATTCACCACCGTGCCTGGCTAGTTTTTGTATTTTCAGTAGAGATGGGGTTTCACCATGTTGACCAGGCTGGTCTTGAATTCCTGACCTCAAGTGATCTTCCTGCCTTGGCTTCCCAAAAAGTGCTGGGATTACAGGTATGAGCCACTGCTCCTGGCTTTCATTTTCTTTCTGGCTGTCAGTGGGGACTGCTGCCAGCTCCTAGAGGCTGCTCTCAGGTGGGCTCCTCTACTCAGCAATGGAGACTCTCCCTTATGATGAGTCTCCCTTATGTTGAGTTTCCCTTGGCTTAGAATCTCTCTGGCTTTCTCTTCTTCTACCAGCCAGAGAAAATGCTTTTAAATGTTTGTAAAGGTCTCATGTGATTAAGTCAAGTCAACTAGGATAATCCTCTGTCTTAAAGTCAACTGATTAATCACGTTAATGACATCTGCAAATTTTTTGTCATGCAAGGTGACATAAACCTAATCATAACTAGGGGTGGTGGAGATTATAGAGACCATTTTAGAATTCTGCCTGTCACAGTGAGGAGGGCAGAAACTTAAATGGTACATAGTCAGGATATGCCAAGCACAGACAAAATCTAGGTCAGACTCACCAGGCCTCAAAAAGATGGTCAAATGGCAAAGAGTATCTTGGAGATGGCTCCTTTGATGTCTGCATTTTCTGTCACATTGCTCTAATCTGATTGACTGTCCTCTGCATCTGACAGACAGCCATCATTCTAGGACCTCTTTTTATCATCCTCCTGAGGATCCTTTTTATTTCTCTCGTGTTGAATTGCTTCTTACCTGCATCCCATTTCTTCCTCTTTACTCTTAATTCGTAATCTTTTGCTTTTCTCTTATTCTGGTGGAGCCAATCTTCTTGAAACTTCTTGAGAATCGGTACACAGAAGTTAAATTTTTTCAGACTTTTTATGTCTAAAAAAACTTTTTTTTTGTTTGAGATGGAGTCTCACTCTGCCACCCAGGCTGGAGTGCAGTGGTGCAATCTTGGCTTACTGCAACCTTCGCCTCCTGGGTTCAAGTGATTCTCCTGCCTCAGCCTCCCGAGTAGCTGGGATTACAGGTATGTCCCACCATGCCCAGCTAATTTTTGTATTTTCACTAGAGATGGAGTTTCACCATGTTGGCCAGACTGGTCTCAAACTCCTGACCTCAGATGATCTGCCTACCAAAGTGCTGGGATTACAGGTGTGGGCCACTGCACCCAGCCATAAAAACCTTTATATTTTTATTTTTAGAGATAGGGTCTTGCTCTGTCACCCAGGATGGGATGCAGTGACATGATCATAGTTCATGGTAACCTTGAGCTCAAGGAATCCTCCTGCCTCAGCCTCCCAAGCAGCTAGGATGACAGGTGTGAGCCACTATGCCTGGATTTTATTTTATGTTTATACTTGATTGATAGCTTAGCTGACAATATAATTCTAGTTGGAAGTTGTTAGCCCTCAAAATTTTGAAGGCATCACTTCACTTTCATTGTGCTGGATTGTCTGTTGTCCAGCTGTGCATCCCCATTATCCCTTCTAGAGTCCGCTCTGTATTAAAGAAGAGGAACTTGTAGTTACATGTGCCAGAATCCTTTCCTTCATTTGATTCCAAGTTGGAGTTTGCCAATGAGATGCACTTGCATGAGAAGGAAATAGAAAAGAAGAAACCATTATTCGACAGAGGCAGTTGAAGGCAGACACATGGGCTGAAGGCCAGCTCTTGAGAGTTTCCTGTTTTGGTGCTGTGAGAAGCTGGGATTGAAGGCAATGGCTTACCTTAGATTGCTGAGATTTTTCCATGGCTTGCAGTAAAGTTCTGAGAATTACTTTCTTCTATTGGCTGCTCTCCTGACTGTCACATCCTCAACACTTAGTTCTTTTTTTTTTTGGAGATGGGGTTTTGCTCTGTCACCCAGGCTGCAGCACAACCTCAGCTCACTGCAACTTCCACTCCCAGGTTGAAATGGAGATTACCACCATGCCTGGCTGATTTTTGTACTTTTAACAGAGACAAGGTTTCGCTATGTTGTCCAGGCTGGTTTTGAACTCCTGGCCTTAAGTGATCCACCTGCCTCGGCCTCCCAAAGTGCTGGGATTATAGGTGTGAGCCATCATACCCAGCCTCAACACTTAGTTCTATGGACCTTTGATTTCCTCTGTTAGTGCTCTTCCTATTTCTGTACCAAGAGTGTCTTCTGTTCTCCTGGTCAAATCCTAACTAATTTGTTGTATTGGTCCATTTTCATATTTCTATGAAGAAATACCTGAGATTGGGTAATTTATAAAGAAAAAGAGGTTTAATGGACTCACAGTTCCAAATGGCTGGGGAGACCTCACAGTCATTGTGGAAGGCAAAGGAGGAGTAAAGACACATTTTACATGGTGGCTGGCAAGAGAGGGTGTGCAGGGAAACTGCCCTTTATAAAACCATCAGATTGACTGAGATTTATTCATTATT